CCACTGGTAAAATAAATAAATCAATCAATCAATTAATCAATCAATCCTTCCCCTTGTGAACAGAAGGTCTTAGAAACCCTCATCTCATTTGATACCATGTCCTAAACAGTCAACTAAAGCTAATCAGAGGAAACTTGCAGCTTCAACAGCAGCACACCAAGTGTGACAGAGAAGCCCCCATCCCCGAGCCCCAAGCCCAAGCCTTTGAACATGTGGTCTCATTCAGGCATAAGCTGCTTGTACATTCTGTATGTTCATAGATTCCTTACTAACTGTGCTTACTGACACCCAGTACAAGCTCCCCCCTCTCTGCTGCGCCTTCGTCAAGGACGGAGCCCACATCTTAGTCATCACTGCACCCTCAAGTCCCAGCGTGGCACAAACATTTCATAAAGCTCCTTTAACATGCAAGAGGGGACCCTCTGGAAATAGTAACGTTCACAGATCACGCGCATGGAAGAACCTGGAGATTTACCCACAATCAAGACAAGATCTCGGACCCAAACTGAAACCGGGGGACAGGCAGGCTCACTACCTGTTTTCTGAGATTAGATGTTTAAAGCCTTTATTTTAGACATACTTGATTCCAGCCTTCTGTGAGGCTTGGGCGGGTCTGGCTTTTATCTGACTCTATCTGCCCATCCTTTTCCCACAGTGCTCTGGAGGAAAGCAGCCTGCGGGTGACTCACCACTCAGCACACTTCTTAGTTCCTTAGAGCTGACACCACATCGCGTTCCAACGGGGAGGCATTTACTGAGGATCAAGACCTGGATGTCCCCGGCCTGCGGAAGTAGGTCACATTATAAGGCCTCCAGCATGGTCCTAAATTAAGTGCGCTTAGTCCCAGAGGGTTAGTGACTAATAACTGGAGACAGGATTGTAAGTGGAGACTGTCTCCATTCTCGTTCCATGCCCCTGCAGAGGTCTTCCCTGGGCCTTTGCCCACCTCCTTATTTCTCTCTTATCTCCCCGGCTCCAGTTTCCAAGGTCACAGGCATTGAAGCCGCGTTGATAGGACGGCCACCCTGCGAAAGTTAGTCCTTTCTGGCAAGGACTTCTCTAGTCAGAACAAGAGAGCTATGACCTAGAAAACATACAAAGCCCGGGGAAAAGACACAAACGGAACTGGTAACAAGAAATGACAAGAAGTCTCTGGGAGTGTGGCCATCGGTTGCTGCCCTCAGCTTATCCGCCTTACATGGTCCCCACACTCCTTTCTCAGGCTGCAGGCTGACTTTCTCTCCCTCGCTGACCAGGCCTCTTCCTCCCCAAAGACTGTGTGGGAGCTTCAGGATGGATATTGGATCTTAGGCTGACACTAGCTAATGGACAGGGCAGGCCTCAGTTTCCAGAGAACAAAGAGCAACCCTCAACACAGTTTCATTTCACCATTTTCGTAATCCTTGTATCCTCCGGCCCCAGCACAGCAAAACCACCTTGTAAATGTTCTTTTAAAGGGCCAGGAAGGAACCTTTGAGAATGTAAGGGTTCATACGTAACACCCACAGAAAAGCCTATAGACTTAACTGAAAATAAGATTTCAGGTTCAAGCTGAGCGCAAAGAACAGACTGGTGTTCTGAGAGACTTGATGGTTAACCAGAGGCTTACCATAGCCACAGGTACCTGCTGTCTCTCTCTCTCTCTCTCTCTCTCTCTCTCTCTCTCTCTCTCTCTCTCTCTCTCTCTCTCTCTCTCTCTCTCTCTCTCCCCAGGAGACTTGATGGTTAACCAGAAGGCTTACCACAGCCACAGGTACCTGCTGGCTCTCTCTCTCTCTCTCTCTCTCTCTCTCTCTCTCTCTCTCTCCATATATATGTGTATGTGTGTGTACATATCTCACACATCCATACCTGTATCACACACCCTCACACACACGCATACACCCACGCTCCAACACACCCTTCAATGTCTCTGTCCAGTGCCCTCTTAGCACAACCACCTAACTGTCTTCTCGAAGCAGACTGCCAGATTATACCATAGTGCTCTACAGTAGCCTTGAGCTGCCAAGGCACCTACACTTTATCCCTTAAACACAAAATCCCCAAATCGTGCTTCTTTCATTATTTCTAATAATCACTCCAACCTCTGGGGCTTGTCCTTGGTCCCTGGCAAACAGGTTACATGGATCTAAATCATGCTCCATGGTGCCTGGCAGAGACACAAGGCCACAGGCAGGCTTAGTATCACGACACTGGTGGTGCTGGTGGTAACACCTTGATGTTAACCATCTCATGATCTCGCTCACTCCAATTCACATCTCCCTTTAGATGCTGAAGAGCCACCTCTGGCCCAAAGACTAGCATTATGGATCTGAAAGTGTTAGGAGGGCTTGATGGTAAAGACACAGTGCCAGCCACAATCTCTAAAGTACAAGGGTTGGGGATGGAGCTCAGTTGGTTGAGTGTTTGTCTGACATGCACAAAGCCGTGGGTTCCATCCCCAGCCCCTGCATAAAATCCAGGTGGTAGCCCAGGCTTATACTCCCAGGATTTAGGAGGTGGTTGCAGGGGAACAGGTCGAGGCCAGCCTTGGCTACACAGTAAGGCCAGTCTTTGCTCCATAGTGAATGCAAGGCCTTTCTGGTCTACATGAGACCCTGCCTCAAGAAAAAGCAAATAAATACAAATTTAAAATAAAAAGAGAAACACTTCAAAGAAACTCAAAGAATTAGCATAGTGTCACAGGGATATGGAAAGGACATAGGCCCGAGTTAGAGTCCCCAAGGGTCACATTGTAACCATCTGATTAACATCTCTGAGACTCTATTTTTTTTCTTTTTTAAGATTTATGGGTGTGGTTGTTTGGCCTGCATGCATGTCTGTGACCCATATGCTTGCCTGGTGACCACTCTTTAGCCCTCTGAAACTTGGTTTCTTAAGCTTAGAAAGATGTCAGAAAGGTTCATCCCAGGGGATGCTTCGAAATTTTTAAAAATTTATCAGTAGTATATGTATGTGTATGTAATGTATGTGAATATGTGTGTGATCTATGTGTATATGTGTATATGATATATGTGTGCATGTATGTGATGGATGTATGTGTGTAATGTATGTGGGGTGTGTGTGTGTGTGTGTGTAAAATGCAGATGTGGATTTCTGTGTGTAGATCTGAGGGAAACTTTAGGAATTAGTTCCCTCCTTCCACTGAGGGTTCCTCCAGAGGTCAAACTCTGGTCCTCGGGCTTTGGGACCGAGTGTTTTCACCCACTGAGCTGTCTTGCCACCTGAGAGGATTTCTTGAGCATTTGGTGAGGCGACCTTTAGGCATTTGGCCTGTGGTTAGACGCCCAATAAATGTCACTTTTCTTCCCTCCTCAGAAAGAGGGGGCTTTAGTCATCCGAAGCTCCAACAGCAGGCGGGTCAGTCCCTGTAACCCAGGCCCGCTGAGAGCTCACACCCTACCCCGCTGCCAGGATTTTCCCTCCAGACGTTTGCTAATCTTCCATGAAACGCTCGTGGTCTCTGCAGGCATCGGCTTCAAACAGAACATGTGTGGGAGGAAGGCTATGCCAGCCTCTTCTCATTTGCTGAAGTATACACACAAACAAGCACTTTCACTTTTGAAGGGGGCTTCAGAAGCAAACCTCGTCTGTCTGCACTCCCGCAGCAACGTGGTCACACTGTTCCTCAAGTGTGGCCCCATGGCCATGGTGCTGCTTTCATCTGTCTCTGTGTATGCATTATGTATTGTGCATGTGCGTATGTAAGTGTATGAACGGGTGTATTGAGTGCATGCGTGTTTGTATGTACATGTGAGTTTATGTGTGGGTGTATGAGTTTGTGAGTGGGGACAATCATGTCATAGCATCATCTTCCCAGGGGTCAGAGGACAATGCTCAGGTCTTATCCTATACCTTGTTGAGCCAAAGTCTCTGGTCCCTGGCTGTTTCTGCTATACTTTGGACACCAGGCTAGCTAGCCATCAAGCCTCAGATCAATTTTCCTTTCTCTGCCTCCCATCTCAAGATAGGAGTGTTGGGATTACAGATATGGACCACCTCATCCGGCTCTCTGTGTGGGCTCCCAGGATTGAACACAGGGTTTTCAGCTTGCACAGCAAATGCTTTAAACCACCAGCCATCTCCTCAGCCCGGTGTCCCCATCGTCTCCTCAGCCCGGTGTCCCCATCGTCTCCTCAGCCCGGTGTCCCCATCGTCTCCTCAGCCCGGTGTCCCCATCATCTCCTCAGCCCGGTGTCCCCATCGTCTCCTCAGCCCGGTGTCCCCATCGTCTCCTCAGCCCGGTGTCCCCATCGTCTCCTCAGCCCGGTGTCCCCATCGTCTCCTCAGCCCGGTGTCCCCATCGTCTCCTCAGCCCGGTGTTCCTTTGGGGGACATACGCATCTCCCTGGGCTTTGAGAGCCACTGTGGCACAGATAACATATTATTCTCTGCTCAGGATAAAGCCATTCTTATGTTTCAAGTTTATTAGATGGAACCGAACTGTTCATCCTTGGTATGAAGCATCCTAGTATTGTGTTATACTTTGTAATTCTTCAGATATCCCAGAGCCTTGGAAATTCCAAGCGTTGAACACATACATTTTCTTTGTCCTTTAAGAATCCGTGGTATTAGAACAGTTTTTTGTTTATTTGTTTGTTTTGTTTTTCAAGCTGAAACCCAACCAAAGAGATAGCTCGTACTAGCTCCCAAGTCGCTTTCAGCTTCCCATAACCTAAGGCCCCACCACCCACCAGATCCAGGGCAGCTTAGGAAAGCACACAGGGGGTGTGCCTGCCTGGTACCTGGAGAGTCCTGTGGCTAGTAACCCTTGCAAAGGCGGCTCAGTGCTGTGGCTAGTAACCGTTGCAAGGCGGCCACAGGTCGTGGGTGGGTGGTGGCAGCTCTGATTGCCTTCGGCAACAAATCAGTGGTGATGACTAAGTTACAGCAGCAATATCTCTCAATCTTTGAGAGCTTGTCTGCTCTCACGCCTCCTTTCTGTCTGTCTCTCCCTCCCCTCTCCCTCTTTAGAGGAAATGGGAGCAAACCCTGGCAGGACCCTATAGAGAAGAATTTTTATTAACTCACTAATTGCCGGATTCTCATCCCATAGAAACTGGGGGTCCACAATTACTGAGGACACATTTAGAAAAACAAAACAAACAAATAAACAAAAACTGAAGTGATAGAGTCAGTTACAAAGGAGACTTCCAGAAACCACCAGCTCATTTTTTGTGTTTTAAGGTGGGTTCCACAGAGGCACACACATCTTGCTGTCCCTGAAAGCCATGCCGCTCTGTTCTCCTAAGAGTTTTGTCCTCCGTGGGTAACTAGGTACACACTTCTAGTGAAGCCTCCTTGTCTCCTCCTTTAAGAAAACACACCACAGGGCTACTTATGAAGTTAGGCTGAATGCACGTATTCTGGGGCAGAAGGCGGCCTCCATAGAAGGTTCCAACTGTCCCCATTTGCTGAGGCCAAGTAGCAGCCAGGTCTGATCCCCCCAGACACAGCACTTTATTGTTCGTTTGTTTTATCTAACTGATCCTTGGAGGTACTTTTCCAGTCTCTTTAACTAGCCCAACCCTTTTATTTTATTGCGGAGGAAACAGAGACAAATCTTACAGTGCTTACCTCCATGGAAGGCCACAGACAAAATGGCAATGTTGTGGTAGGCAAGGCCATTTGAGTGCTGTATTGGATGGTCTCTGGGTCCCAGTGCAGGTCAGAATACTAGGCTAGATGTGTTTTTGTAATCGAATTGTCAGTATATCATACACATGCATATGTAGCTTTAGTTCACCTACTCTATAGACTAGAAAATACTTTGTAGAATAAGGCTAGCTCATTTATGCTAATTATCATAAAAGTTAGGATCATGATAGTGCTTAGCAATAGGGGTACTTGTAATTTATTAGTCACTTTCTTTGTGCCAAGCATCAGGCTGAGCATTAACACACATTCTTATGTCTTCCTTCACACAATCAGCCCAATGTCAGAACCCTCCCTAATACTTAATCCCCGTGACCTGTAGGAAGCTGGCTCAAAGGAAAAACTTCAATCTGTCTGTAGGCTCTGTCTGTGTGCTCATCAACTGTGCCCAAATCAAATCCTTTCTGAATTCCTAATGCTGTGTGTGTGTTTTTTTTAAAACGGGTAATTAAGAGGAAGGTATTTCCAGAAATAAAACACAGGAGGTGGAGGCTGAATTTTTGATTCCCTCGATCTGGAGCTAGCCAATTTGATAGTGACTTATAATTACTATATTTCAAATTGCTCAATCATCTCCAGAAGATAGATTGCAGGGTGGGGTGGGAGGTGCCTTTCATTTCTTTCCAGTGAAATGTTTCCGTGTTAGCACAAGACGAGAAGTTCTTTAAGGTAAGGGATTCAGATACAAATGCCGGGCTTCCTGTGGCCCTGCGCCAGGTGGAGGAAATAAACATCCTTGGTTCCCATTGGATACGGGTGCCCTAAGAAAAGTGTTTCCTGTCATGCTGCCAAGACAGTGCCAGCTGCTCACAGCACTGATTCAAGGGAGAGCAAAGAGGAAGGCTGAGTGGAATTTGGGGAGAGATAAAAAAAAATAAGAAAATGCCAGTTTTTCCATTTTTCTGATAGGTCATAAACTTCTACAACTAAGAGTCAAGTGGCAGCTCTGATGTGTGTGTGTGTGTGTGTATGCCTGCCTGTGGACTCCAGAGGTCAATATTAGGCATCTTCCTCAGTCTCTCTCTGCCTCCTCATTGTTATTATTATTATATGTTATATCGACTCAGTATTATTGTGTAGTCCTGGTTGACCTGGAACTTGCCCTGTAGACTAGGCTGGCCCTAGACTCAAAGAGATCTGCTTGCCTTTGCATCCCAAGAGCAAGGATCTGAAAGGCTGACTCTTGCTGAACCTGAAACCCAATGAGCTCTAGGGATCAGCCTACACCACCTCCTCAGTGCTGAGATTACCGTGTCCAGCCTGTATGTTTTGACTGCCTCTATGTATGCACACGTGTGTGTGCCCGGTGCTAGCAGAGGTCAGAAGGAGGGTGTCAGATCTTTTGAAACTGGAATCATGGATGATTGCTATGGAATGATCCTTCTGTGCACTGAGAAGATGTGCTGCTCTCCTTGTTAAGAAAAAACTGATCGACTGATAGCTAGGCAGGATTTTGGGGGCAGAGAGCATACTGGGTAGAAGAGCCAAGTCTGAGGAGTCGCAAGCCAGATGTGGAAGAAGCAGAATGAGAAGGTCATAGACGAGGTAAACGAGCCTTGGGCAGCACATAGGTGAAGAGAAATGGGTTAGCTTGAGTTACAAGAGCAGGCTGGGGACAAGACTAAGCTATCGGTCAAACATTTATCATGAATAAGTGTCTATGTGGTTATTTGGGAACTAGCTGGCGGGATAGGAAGGTCCGCCTACAGATGATTGCAAGTCGCCATGTGGGGGCTAAGGAACTGATTTCCTGGCTGCTGCAGGAATAACAAGTTCTCTTAACTGTTGAGCCATTGCTCCAGACCCCCACACCCAGCGTTTTTCACATGTTCTGGCGATCCGAGTTCAGGTCCTCGTGCTTGGGTGGCAAGAACTTTAGTTTCTGGGCCATATCCTCACTTCTGGCCACTTTGGCAATGAAATGGGCAGTGGTACTCTTCCTAGACACTTCACAGGTAGTTGGGAGCTCCAGAGCTCCAGAGAGAAGTCCCTTGAGGTCTGCAGCCTGAATATCACAACCAGCAACTGCGAGGTGTCTTCTCTGGGTTTCCTAGAATCAGTCAAAAGGATGTTTTAAACTTTTAGCTAACCGTCAATGTTTTAAAGCAATGAAGACTTCACAAATACATCTGATCTCCGGTATCTCTTTTATAGGAGAAAATGGGCCTAGGTTTTCATTTATCCATCCCCAAAGGCCCTCATCACTACGGACATTCATCAGCCAGTATCATCCTCAGTCATGGCATTCTGTGACCTACAGGTCCTGCAGCAGCTTGAATATGTGTGTCCCCTGGACTGGGGTCATACCATTATCAAGACAGAAAGCAAGGCAGACCCCCACAACTCTTTGGCAGGATTCAGGCAAAATCCTGATGCTGTGACAACCAAGGCAGGTACCACCTGATCTCTGAGCGGTGTGCTAAGGTGACCCTGTGACTCAGCCACACTGCTCTTATACCTGGTCAGGGCTCTGGTGCCTTTGTCCCAAACACACTTCCCGATAGCAGACCCTTCCACACTAGCAAGTTCAGCCCTAACTCAACATGCCTGCTTCTTCTCAGACCTGAGCATCCTTCAGGGGAAGTTCGGTGTTGAAAGCCCTGGTTTGCATGTCACTGGTGCCTAGCACTGTGCCAGGACATTTTGTGAATTAAATAAACCTGGCATTCAGAAAATGAAGAATTAGTATACACGTATGTTTTTACTCACCCTCTCTCTCTCTCTCTCTCTCTCTGTGTGTGTGTGTGTGTGTGTGTGTGTGTGTGTGTGTGTATAGGGAGTTTGAAAACAGTTAAAAGCAAACTGATGAACCAGCAAGTAAATGGTACTGAAATGTTTACTCAGTAATAGACATAGTTCATTACAACCAGGCTAGGCCTTCCTCCACGGGTAGGGGCTGCTTAGTCAATGTGGTTTGCAAGGTGTGCGCCCTTAAATGTCTTCCTTACCATCTTACTGTAGTACCTAAAATCCCCTGTAACTTACTTACTTCTATTGAGACTTGTCTGTTAAAAGAAAACTCCTCCTCCCAACCCCTTGACATCCTCAAAGCCGACAGAGATCGGTTAGCTTATTAACTGTTGTTCTATCTTGTGTATCTTCCTAGACCGTCTGGCTATGTAGTGATAGAATTATAGGGAACGTTCCAGGAGAAGGGGCACTGAATGAGCTAACGAACCAGGAGCAGGCACTATATAGGCCCCTGGGTAAATGAAAGAGCGCTTTGAACCCAGGCGCCCTGGGGCAGCATGCTAAGTGGCTAGTCACTGGGCTTCTGGAGTTCTGTTTCTTCGTTCAGGTATGGAATGGTATAGCAAGACCATGAGCCTCAGGCCAGCAGTGGTTAAAGGAGAGACTGAACTTGAAAATGGTGTGAGGTACAGTGAACACTAGTGACCCAGCCGTTCTTAGGAGGGGGCATCCGGAGGCTGACCCTGAAAGGATGGCTGGGCTTTTACTCTTCCTGGCCCCCTTTGGGGATGTGCGGTGGAATCAAGAAAAAAGGCGTTGGTGGTGCACGGCTTTAATCCCAGCACTTATGAGGCAGAGGCAGGTGGATCTCTGTGAGTTCGAGGCCAGCCTGGTCTACAGAGTGAGTTCCAGGACAGCCAGGACTAAACAGGGAAACTCTGTGGGGGGAGGGGGAGGGGGAATGGGAGAGTGGGGGGTGGAGGGCGGGCGCAGAAAGAGAGTGAGAGACAGAGAGAAAGAAAGGAGGAAGGAAGGAAAGGAAGGAAGGAAGGAAGGAAGGAAGGAAGGAAGGAAGGAAGGAAGGAAGGAAGGAAGGAAGGAAGGAAGGAAGGAAGAAAGGAAAGTTCTGGGGGACTGAGAAGCAGAATGAGCTACAGCTTGTATCCCTTTTGGAATATAAAAGAATCCAGGCCCTCCTGGACGTCACAGGACCACCCCCAGACAACCCTAGTTTCCCCCCCGGATTCTTCCTTTCTTAGCAAAGGCCACCTTCCTACACACAGAGTCCCCAGGCCCGGGTTCCTGGGCGTACCCTCGGAGTCTGGCACGGAGCGGCCACTTGCTGCCCCGCCGGGAGAACTAGTCGACAGCGGGGTGGACGGGAAAAGTGACATAATCCTTGCAGCGCCCTGTGCCACCAGCCTCTCCCACAGCCACAGCGCAGGCCTGGTTTCTGCTCTCCCGCGCTGCGGCCGGGGATTGAGGTGCTGCGGACTCCCGGCTCCCGCCAGCCTTGGGGTCCCTCGCGACACGGGGACCCGGGCGTGGGCGGCCAGGGTGCACTTTTCAGGAACGCCGCGGCGGTAGCGCGGTCGCCGGGCACGCTCCCAGGACCGCCGCCCCCTCGGAGCCGATGACGGAGTCTCGAAAGACTTTCACCAAATATGGGCCGAGGCTGGAAACGTCCTGCGCCGCGCGTCGCCGGAAACCTCGAGTCGCGGCCACCGCGGGAGTACGGATCGCAGGCCAGCGGCCCGCAGGGGGCGGCGGCGGCCAGGGCCCCGTCCCGGTGGCCCAGGCCCGGTGCCCTCGTGCCCTCCCGACCCGCGTGTCTGTCACTCAGTCCCCTCCGCCGCCGCCACCGTAACCCCAGCCACCCCTGCCCGAGACCGCGCCACGTTGTGGGGGTGGGGGGCTGAAGAGGGGACGCAAGACTGTTGGGTGCCACCTTAAAGCTTCCTACAGACACTGTCAGTGTGGCTTTAAAAAGTGAGGTTGTGAACAACCCCCTGTCTGATTATGGACACAATCACACGCATGACGGTGGGGAAAGGGGTGGGGAGCATTAGTGTGAGGGGAGAGACCGAGAAACACAGAGAAGGGGGGGGAGGGAGGAGAGAGGACACAGAGGGAGGAAGAGGAGGGGGGACCAAACTCCTGTGGTCCAAGGCAGTGGGAGCCGCAGCATCACCTAGAGTCTTGTCAAAATGCAGCCAAGGAGAAACGCTGGAGTGAGGCCTAGCATCGGACTTCAGCAACCCTCGGCGTGATTCTGGGGTGCGCCCAAGTCTGAGACCCGCTAGAAGCTGGAGTGGACAGGTTTGGGATTCTGATCAGTCTCGGTTGCTGGCAGACAGTGAAACCTTCACGGGGTAATCTAAACTTCCCTGGCAGCTGCGAGGGAGACTCTCCACCTCTCAGCCCAGGAGCCACAGAGGACAAGCAGTCCTTTCTGGGTGGCTTGCGGCTCAAAGAAACACAACACGTCGGCCCGGCCCGTGGAGGGACAGCGGGGGAAGGAGCCATGCAAATGAACACCCGAAGCGACACTTACCACACCGTTTGCACACTTCCCTGCACGTCTGTCAACGAAAGATCTGTAGCTCTCAGCAGAGGAGGTGAGAAGGCGGCAGGGCGTCTGGGGTTTCTGGACCATCCCAGGCAAGGACTTAAGAAGCCGCTGTCCGTCTTGGTTACCAGCAGGCGAGGCAGGGCATGCGGTCTGCAAAGTTGTGCAGAGGTTACGGCAGCCTTTCCTCCTCTCGGCGGCAGCTCCTGGCCTGGTGGACCCTAGCGGCCCACCCCTTCCCACCACACACCCGCTGCTTTAAATGGGCAGCCAGCGGTAATGTTCTCCGGGTTTCTCCACCGGGACAATCCCATGCTTTGAGATTGCCCAGTTGGAGGCCAGAAACAAAACCCCACACATCTTCGATAGACATTTTTAATCTGATTTTTTTAAGGCATCAAGGAATGGTGTGTCTGTTTGAGCGTTGTGCAGCACACTGGACCTCCGGGCTGCTCCTCCCTCCCCCAGCAAAGGAACACAGTCTATTCAGGCCAGTTGGATCATCCAATGTAACTTTATTTTAAATCGTGATAGACAGATTGCGTGAAAAACAAGGAATTCCAGAGAATTTCCTGCTCTGGGAACAGAAGTTAAGTCTATATTTAACAACATTTGAAGCTGTCAAGAATGCCTTGTGGTTGGATAACAGAGGCAGAAAAATGTTAAAAACGCAGGCTACTGCTATACCCAAATATGGAAATATTGTTACGTCTGGTGTCTGATTCACCATCTGGAAATACTTACAACCATGAAGTCAAATAGAAAAGACGCCACAACAGAAGCCAGGAAGCCTCGTCTCCATTCTTTCTCTCCGTCCCCTCCTCCTACCCTGAACAGAGCCTTCTCCACCTTCAACTCCTCCCAGCCACTTCTCTAAGATGGAAACAATGAACCATTAAGGCAGGAGGAACTGTTCTCTGAGGTCTCGGCTGGCCTAGTGGACAGCTTTGCTTTATTTGCATAACACCTGAGAACCCATTGTCTTTCAAAGTCCCCACACCCAGAAAGCCCGAGATGCTAGGCCCCCAGCAAATACTTTGGAATGAATGAACTTAACTCTTCCCTGTAACGGCTGCCTCCACTGGGGTGTGCGGTCCTCCCAAAGGCTTTCATTGTGCTCCCTGGAGTCAGCCACAGAAAAGTCAGCACCGAACAAAGGCTCCCCTACGCAATACTACTAAGTTCTGAAGGCAAACAGGCCCTAAATATTGAAAATGAAGAGAAGCTATCCCAAAGCATTGTGGGGGAGGGACCCTAGTACCGTTTCATATTAAAATTACATAAGAACACAGATTGTGAAACATTGAAAGTTTATGAATGGCTCTAGGAATCCTGGAGAGGAGGGTCTTGTGAGGTGTCTTCAGGTGTGTCTAGTGAGATCATAAAATCTAACTTCTTTTATTTCAGAATGCTGCCCTCTAAATTTTTCTGAGCCGAGACAGCCCTTGCACTTCGCTTGAAATGGAAGTGATCCAAGCGTAGGACACACACACACACACACACACACACACACACACACACACACGCGCGCGCGCGCAGTCTTTTTCCAGCTATCCAAAGGGCACAACAGTCCCGTTGGAATCTGTTTTGTCCTGGCAGCCTTTTGCACCTGATGATTTCAGGACAAATCACGTCCACGGTCGTCTCCTCCCTCCGCTTCTGGTTTGGCCGCTCAGTTTCCGAGCCGCCAGTCCGGGGAGGGAGGCCAGCAGGGCTTACCCAGCCTCCCGCATCCGTGAGGAAGTGCGACTGGAGCTCCGGGAGGACTCCCTGCACTCGCTTCCTCTTGGATTTCCAACGCAGCCAGTGGGCTGGAACTAAAACTGGGAACCTCCAAAAACAAACAAGTACAACATACCAAAAAAAGAGGGGGAGGGATGAGGGAAGACCTCTGGCTGGAAATCTGCCAGGCCGAGAGGAAAGCTCCCCCCCCACTCATAAATGCCACTCTGAGTATTAATTTGCAATACACTTCTCTTGGCTAATAAACTTCTTGCCACAGCTTTGGGACTTGTTCCGAGCACGCCTCTTTGAAGTCCACAAATAGATGCCTGGCTCAGAGACCAACTCCCCCTCCCCTTTGGACTCTTGGTAGATAACTTTACTCTCACCTTTGTTGTAAACAAGCAAACGGCTCCCTGCGTTCCCGGGTGAGGGTCACTCCGCAGATGCCGGCTCCACTGGGCATCTTCAAACAAAACCACTTTTGTTCCTCTCTCTCAGGTTCTCCCACCCTCCCAAAGATCTGAAGTGCTCCCACCAACACATGCACCACGCCCCCCATACTCTTCATCAAAATCATCACCCTCACGCCCCAAGCATCCCGCCCTCCCCCAATGAAAGTCGTTAAAGTGGAAAAAATGAACTTTTTTTTTCTTTAATAGATCTGAAAAGAGGGGGGAGAAAGGTGCAATGGAGCCAGGGGAGGTGCTTGGCAGCAGCCCGCGCCAACCAACATTCCTGAGATGTTTGAGAATTCTGGAACGCGCAGACAGAGCCGACGTCACTGCAACACGCGGCGCCGGAGCAGGCGTATAAAGGGCGGGCTCCCGGCGCCGGGGCAGACCGTGAGCGAGAGCGCCCCAGAGAAGCGCTTGCAACCTCGGCTCCTCCTCCGCCAGAACCTCGAGAGAAGGACGCCGGCAGCCTCGGTCCTAGCCTCCCCGCTCTCCCGGAGCATCCGATCCCGCTGCTTGTTGGCTTTCGTGTCGCCGCGCTCGCCCCGGTTCTTTCTGCGCGCCACAATGAGCTCCAGCACCGCCAGGGCGCTCGCTGTCGCCGTCACCCTTCTCCACTTGACCAGGCTGGTGAGTTAGACATGTTTAACCACGGCTTCTCGGTTCGCCCTCTCCGATCCTTTTTCCCCGGGCCCTGATCATCCACACAAGGGAAAGTTAGGCTAAGAAGTATGGAGGCAGCTGTTGCTTTAAGCCCCGACGACGTGTCCGGGGGGCCTCTGCCTGGGGCTCAGCCGCCGGGGTGGCCCGGATGGCTGGACGGGATCAAGACACTGTAGGTGGATGGAGCTAGGGCCAGGGACCCACGCCTAGGGCAGTTTAGGCGCCTCCTCGGAGCAATGCAAAAACAGTCTCACGCGTTTCTTCTCCCCCTTCTAGGCACTCTCCACCTGCCCCGCCGCCTGCCACTGCCCTCTGGAGGCGCCCAAGTGCGCCCCGGGAGTCGGGTTGGTCCGGGACGGCTGTGGCTGCTGTAAGGTCTGCGCCAAGCAGCTCAACGAGGACTGCAGCAAAACGCAGCCGTGCGACCACACCAAGGGGCTGGAATGCAATTTCGGCGCCAGTTCCACGGCTCTGAAAGGGATCTGTAGAGGTAAGAGGCTTGTGGTTTGGCCCCTTTAAAAAAAATAATAGTCCCCATAGTCCAGAAGTTTAGTAATTTTGAGACCATGTATGGTGACGCTTTGTTGATGGTAGCTTGGCAGAAAGGCGCATGATTTCAGCCGTCTGGAATGCAATTCAGTGTGTCTGGGCCCAACGAAAAGCGCATACGGAAAAGTGATTCCTGACTAACTTATTGTTCGGCTCTGGAGTCCCGGGGGAATTGTAGGGAACTTTACCATACACTGAATTGAAGAGCGGAAAATATGTATGAGTTTCAGCCTGTGCCGGCCGACCTTAACCTTCTCTCTCTCTCTCTTGGTTGTCCTTACAGCTCAGTCAGAAGGCAGACCCTGTGAATATAACTCCAGAATCTACCAGAACGGGGAAAGCTTCCAGCCCAACTGTAAACATCAGTGCACATGTATCGATGGCGCCGTGGGCTGCATTCCTCTGTGTCCCCAAGAACTGTCTCTCCCCAACCTGGGCTGTCCCAACCCCCGGCTGATGAAAGTCAGTGGGCAATGCTGTGAGGAATGGGTCTGTGATGAAGACAGTACCATCAAGGGCTCCCTGGACGACCCGGATGACCTCGTTGAATTTGATGCCTCAGAGGTGGAGTTGACGAGGAAGAATGAGTTAATTGCAGTTGGGAAAGGCAGCTCGCTGAAGAGGCTTCCTGGTAAGTGGAAACCTAGCCCTTAAGACACTACTGAAATTCATTCTTGGTCTGCAACTTGCTAGAACCAATGTGTGTCAGCATGCCTCTGAGGAGTCTTGGTTTATCTTTCAAGTCTTTGGCACGGAACCGCGAGTCCTTTACAACCCTCTGCATGGCCAGAAATGCATCGTCCAGACAACGTCGTGGTCCCAGTGCTCCAAGAGCTGCGGAACTGGCATCTCCACGCGAGTTACCAATGACAACCCAGAGTGCCGCCTGGTGAAAGAGACCCGGATCTGTGAAGTGCGTCCTTGTGGACAACCGGTGTACAGCAGCCTCAAAGTAAGTTCCTCTGGGACTTGACCATGACCCCGGCACGTGGGTGGGATATGAGCCTCTCTGTTCCAGAAAGAGAAGTCCATGATATATTGGGAAGAAATTGTCTTTATGAAGCCTAAGGCTGTTGGGCTTCATACAGTGGTTTAAATGCACCCCTCCCCAAACAACAACAACAAATCACATTTCTGACTTTCTTTGTTCTTTCTTCCAGAAGGGCAAGAAATGCAGCAAGACCAAGAAATCCCCAGAACCGGTCAGGTTTAATTACGCAGGATGCTCCAGTGTGAAGAAATATCGGCCCAAATACTGCGGCTCCTGCGTAGACGGCCGGTGCTGCACGCCTCTGCAGACCAGGACCGTGAAGATGCGATTCCGCTGCGAAGATGGGGAGATGTTTTCCAAGAATGTCATGATGATTCAGTCCTGCAAATGTAACTACAACTGCCCACACCCCAACGAGGCATCGTTTCGCCTCTACAGTCTGTTCAATGACATCCACAAGTTTAGGGACTAAGTGCCTCCTGGGTTCCTAGCATGGGGCGGAGAGGAAGAGTGTGAGCATCGTGGAGACGTGGGTGGGGCGGTGGGGTGAAGGGGCTCATTGTAAAAGGGATGCCTTGCTCATCACTGAGTAGCATTACGGTATTTCAGAACTGCCAAGGGGGCTGGTGAGGACGGACACTAAAGCAGCGGCAGTGGGGAATACTTTGCTTCATAGTACTGGAGCACCTGTTATGCTTCATTTTGGAGCGTGTCGTGTGGATGGCGTTCTGTTTTCTGTTTGTAAATTATTTGCTAAGTGTATTTTTTTAATCTACATCTCCCCCCCCCTTGGTTCTACAATTGTAATAGAGATAATAAGATTGTTTGTCCTCTGATAGAAGTAAATGAAAGGGCCTCCCATTCCTTCCTGAGGGAGGGGGACACTCTGTGAGTGTCCAGAGGCAGCTAGCTACCTGCACTCTAAACTGCAAACAGAAACCAGGTGTTTTAAGACTGAATGTTTATTATTTATCAAAATGTAGCTTTTGGGGAGGGAGGGGAAATGTAATACTGGAATAATTTGTAAATGATTTTAATTTTATATCAATGAAGAGAATTTATTTATGAAATTAATCATTTAATAAAGAAATATTTACCTAATATTGGAGTGTCTGCTATTTGGCATTTTTAGAAGCCATCCAAGTTATCAGGAGCAATTAGTTGCTCCTGTCAATCATTCCAACAGGATTTTTTGTTGTTGTTTTTTGACGCCCTACTATGTGTTGAGAACTATCCTAGGTGCCCTACTTGGATAACTGATAACTCAGGAGAGAAAATAGGACAGTGGTTGTCTTTGCACATCTTTAAAGGAAAAATGGTGACATACAAGTCATCAGTTTGGAGAGCAAAGTTTTGAACACAGGCATTGTATGAAATAAAAGGCAGCTGAAGTTTAATTTGTTAACCTAAAACAATGATTTATTTTTTTATAAGAATTGAAAGAAGATTAGTCCCCAACTCCAGGAGAACCTTTTAATAACCTTGGGCCTGAACTACTTGAAGCATATTGAAAAGGTCACTTAGTTTGTAACTTTGTGTTTTTTTAATATTGTATCTAAAAGTTAGGCAAGCTGCTTTAACGTTTACCCTTGGTTTGTATGGGGGGCGGGGGAATCAGGATCTATAGGGTTCCTGGTTCGTTAATAATAGATGAGCTTGAATCAAAGACTTGTGTTAATCCGAATAAGCCAGCGATTAGGTAAACACACTACCAAATGCAAAGGAATGTGAGGAATTTCAGTACTTTCCAATCTAAAGGACCAGGGCTACCCACCCCCTTCCTTACATTACATTGGTGGCAGAGGGAGCATTTAGATAGAGTGGGCTATCCAGAGGTCAAAGGCTAGTCACTGAGCATTCCTAAAAGAAACGTCCTGACTGCGGGACTAGGAGAGGTAGAGACAGCTGCAATAATGTTTGTGGGGAAAAAAGCCAGCCGCCTGCGTTAGAAAAATCTACATCTTTAGAAAGCGCTGACAATAAACCTTTTATAGAGAAATTTTTCTTTCACTGTCACTTCTGGCTCCCATCCAATCCATCGTGAGATATTTCAGACTACACTTGAAGAGAGAGCACTTGAATTTTTAGACGTGAGAGAAAGTGCTTTGAGAAGGGGGGGCAGCTCTTTGGATTCTACAAGGGAGTTTTCTAAATCGACGAATTAACATTGATTGAATAATGACCTGAAAGGCCACTTCCCCAGCATCTGTTTTAGACCTTACTGGATGGATGCTAGGAAAACCTACGGTCACAAGTCTTCCCTCCGATTTTAACAGTATCTTGCCTAAAATACCTTCTGAACTGTCAGCTTTTCCTGCCCTAGGCATTGGAGTTTTAAAGTATTTGGCCTGGTAGTGTTTGCAGTTAAGCTTGTCAGTGTTCGATAATAATATGTGAGAGACGATAAAGGCATTAGGATTTTGTTGGGCGACATTGGAGTCCATAAGCAAGATTTACTGGTTCCCCAGCATGAGTCCTGAGACGCAGAGAACCCACTAATGTCTTTGTTGTACAGAGACTGTAGAGTGCTATTGTTTGGGTTCTTCAAACGTGCAGGAAGGCAATATTTGTGCAAAATAACTCAAATGAGAAACTGTAACTGAGAAAAGGAGATGGCCTTTGAAAAGTCATTGGTGTGGTCCAAGAGCTTACAGTGATGATGACAAGAACAAGGACCATGAGAGGGCTCAGTTAGTACAATGATGAAGAAAAGCATTGGAAAATAAAAAGTACTATAGAAATATAAATGCAGTGAATACAGGAAGTATTGAAGAACCTGTGAATAGTTGAGACCAGACAAAATCAGCTCTGCCTAGAGTGGATGCCATTCAGTTCAATTGTTGTGAAAACAGAAGTCCTTGTCTTTACTTATAAGGCATGGAAGCTGCAGAAATGTTGACATACATGCATTGCGATGTATGTGACAGTGTGTTGACATGCGTTGCGATGTATGTGAGTGTGCCGCCAACCACACTGAAGACCTCTCATGGTTCTCTTTCCATGATTCCGGGATGCTTACCGTAGACTTAAGACCAGAGTGTTATAGAATGACCTCAGAAGCTCAGGCATTCTATGAATTTAAGAACTACACTATGAGATACACACCAGCCCAGTCGGTGCTCTCCCTGGGATGCTGTTTCAAATGAATGCTATGTACCAGCCATTCCACAAAGAGATGCAACTGAGTCAAAATTAGAAAAGCGTCTTTTAGGGTTATTTTTCCGGTAGTGGGAACATATTTGATGTGTCCACAATGTCTTTTCCTAGGCTTCTGGCACTATTGGTATATCTGTTGAGTAATAACGAGCATGGGTCCAACGCAAGCACAGGGTAGTGCAGAACTGTGTTCTGGGCAGAGTGAAGGTGACTGGGCAGAAAGAATCCCACAGAAGTCGTGCATGGCAGCACCTCTGTCAGCAACTCACTAGCAATGCCGGGGAAGTTTCTAGATCACTCTCTCATCTGTGAAAGTGAGAAAAATGGCTTTCAGAATTTTTCAAAATGATTAATTGTATGTGTGTGTGTGTGTGTGTGTGAGCATTCTGCATACATGTACATGTGTGCACCAGCTGTAAGCAGTGCCTGTGTGCAGGTCAAAGAAAGTGTTGGATCCTCTGGAACTGGAGTTATAGACACTCATGAGCCACTCCATGGGTACTAAGGACAAAACCCTGGTCCTCTGCAACAGCAGTAATTGCTTTTAAACCCTGAGACATCTCTCCAGTCCCAAACTTCAAGCATTTTTGTTGGGGAAAATGCCCTAGACATCGTCATGTCTCTCTTTGGAGCATTCCTCTTCCACCTCCTAAACTGTTGACTTGCAGCACATGGGTATCCTTCGAAATCAAGACTGTCCAGATCTTTCTATGATTAAACACACTCACTTCCATAAAGTCTTTTAAAATATGTTTCCAGAACCTTCTTTACCATCCCACAACCTTTAGCTCAGGATGGCTGTGGTGGTCCCTGGACCTCAGAGTACAGGTTCATACTTTCAACTCACAGAGCGCCTCTGAAATCTGCACCTCACAAGCTATAGTGTCCTGAAAGTGGATGCTTTAAGTCAAGACATGTTTTAAAGCATGATGATGTATGCATGCGTCCTTCAAATAAGATCACACATTTGTAACAGTTTCACTGGTGATAAAAATTAACATTCATCTGTGGAATCTTACAAAATACAATACCATTCAGAAATCCACAAGCACGTTTGTTTTGGAATGTTATAATCCCCGCATGTTCTACTCATATACTCTTCTAAATCAACCCCTTTCTCTTCTGTGCAAACACACAACCTCAGCCACCAAGGTCTCTTATCTGAATTACTGAATGGCCTCTTCACTTGTGACAGTTTTCCAAAGGTGGCTATACCAACATCTCCTATCTTCCCTGTACTGCTGTCCCGTCCAAGTAAGTGCAGTATGTCTCTCTGTTCTCATGAATCTGTTTGAGTTTTCAGTGCCAGCTTAGAGTGGAGTTCTGGGGTGCTCCCCTCCTCTCTTTTACAGATGACCTTCCATGAAAAGGGGGTGCCTTTCCTGTGAGCTCAGCGGACGATGAGTCCGGTGGTCCATGAACTATTCCCGGAGGATGAGCTGGGACGAGGAGGAGCAAGATTAGGGAGCATGTGGGTGTCATGTCTGTGTGTGAACACTTTCTGGAAAGTGAACCCTCCTCCTCAGCAATGTCAGCTGATGGCTTGCGGATCAGACATGAGCTGCTTGAGTCCCCCCACTATCCCTGACCCACAGGTAGTGAGCAGACTAGTCTGGCCATTTTAAGGCAGGGAATTTGGGGTGTGGTTGTGCAACAATAGACAAACAAAACATCGATTCTTGTCCTCCAATGGTCAGTTCTCTGCAAAAGCTCCTGAGTGGCTCTAAAACATCAGTCAGAGGATGTTGCCTTTGGCTTAAAGGATCCATGGTGTCCCATTGGTCTTGGATAAGGCTCAGCTTCTCGCTTGGCACACGAGTCTAGATGTGCCTATTTGTCACCAGCCAACCTTGCTACTGACCTTTGTAGTCTCTGAAAAAAGCTTTGCCAGTGGCTAGAAAGACAGCCCGGTAGCTGAAAGTGTGCACTCATCTTGCCGAAGACTGGAGCCCAGGTCCCAGCACCCACAATGGACAGCTCAGAACTATCTGTGACTCTAGAGCCAGGAGAGCCAAAGGCAGGGAGAGCTAATTAGAAACCCAGGTTCATTCTTAGCAAAGCCCAATCTAGATCACCCATTTCACAAAGCAAATGCTTTGGAAAACAATTTTCACTGTGATAACACTTTTAAACCCGAGAAAGAACAGAGATGGCATCATTGTGTCCCCTCATGCCCTAGTCCCCTGCTTCCTCCTGCAGCCCTAGGCCTTGTATTTTTACAGAGAAGTGCACACCTACTCCATTTATAAAACCATGTCACATTTTCCAACTGACACTGGATAAGTTAATCAAAGATATACAGCACATTGTGAACACAAGTTGAATTTAACCACCTATTTTTATAGCAACCAAAGAGACTGTTGGGTATGAAGTAGAGTTGCTCAGATGACCTAAGGGGCCCGCTTTAGGATTTTAAAAGGAGCAGCTCTAGGTCCTAAATCCACAGAAATACGTATCTTTCAGATGTGTTTAAGAAAGTCCTGAGTGATGGATGGAGGACTGGCCTGTGTTGTTACTTTAGTTACTGGCTAGTCAGGCAGAAGTAGAGGAGACCGTGGGTCCCAGAGGATTTATCATCTGAGCTTCCCCCAGACAGAGGCAACTGGGGCCTAGGAAGGCACTTGAGTTACACAGAGGTCTGGCCATAATACAGGTCCCGGGTATCAATGTGACTGGCCCCAGAGAAGGCTTCCGCCACTTCCTAAAGCTGACTCAGCATCCTGGGGGCTCATCCTAAGCATATCACCTTTCTCCAGCAAACAGAGGACAACTCTATACAGTCCAGAGATTCGCCAGTTAAAGCGAATGCATTCACTCACAACAGGAATTTAAATTTCAGGATCCTGGGAAAGACTTTCTGAAAGGTCCCTCCTATATTCCAAATTTAGTTTGTTCTTGGAAAGGAGCCCATGTCTTTAGTTGACCTCTTGCATTTAAGACGATACTTGGCCATTTAAAATGTTTTGCAATGTTTGGGGTTTCTTGTTGCTATTTTGCCTTTATAAAAGGAAGGCGTACGGAGACAAAATCCCTATGATTAGAAAGACAGAATGTCAGAAAATGCTTAGTACACTCTGTCTCTCTCTCTCTCTCTCTCTCTCTCTCTCTCTCTCTCTCTCTCTCTCCCATCACACACACACAAACACAAACACACACACACACACACACAGAGCTAGTATTACATAGGTAGTGAATATTCTGTAACATCATCCATTGAACAATAGCAAATCAATAATTCCAAAGAATAGGTGGTTTTTACATTTACTGCATCTCCCAAATAACTTAGTAAGTCTTTGTAACAGTTTCTCAGGCCCTCATGCTATCAGTGATGTGGCAAAATTATATTTAAATACTTGACAGGGTGGGTACTATTAGATTGCCACCGCAGAGCCATGTCCTGTGTCTTTCAGTCCCTGCTTCCCCAGCAGGGACTCAGCTTTGATTGAGTCTTCTGCCTTCCCTGTGTTCTGGGAAGGAAATCCCCTGCCTCCACCCTCACCCTTAAGGATTGCATCAGTACTGCCTAGATCACCATGACTTAATCTCATCACAGATACTGAAAGAGAATCTTCGAGGGGAGGGGACACTCTGGAGGATATCCTTGTAAATAAAAAGCTGGGGAGAGCCAATGCCCTTCCTCTCTGCAGGCCACCGCCTCTCCTTGAGCCCTGGGAGAATGGTGGGGCAGCAGTGAGGAACCTTTGTGTGCACTTGGATGGACCTGAGCTGCTGAGTCACCCGGTCCTAGCCTCGGTGACTCTTGTTGAGGGTGACAACAAAGTCCTTATTATTTAAGCTATTTCGGTTAAGAATCTGTCGCTTGCAGGTAAAGCCATCTT